TTCTGGGGGGGGAAAAGGCCTGCCTGTGGTTTGCTCAGCCCTGCAAGTAGCACAAAACCCCAAAGGGAGCACAAGCAGTGGCTCTGCAAGGGCCTTTGATGGTTTTCAGATCAGGGCTGGCTGGAAACCTCCCCTGCAGGGGCAGCTATGAGAGAACCAGCCCGGAAATGCAGCAAGTGATCATTTGTCCCTTTGCCCAAGGGACTGAGAAAACCAGAAAACTACTGCAAAGACAACAACAATCTGCTCAACAACCTGACCCAGACCATCCTTCTTGAATAAAACCTGCAGCCTTCTGGAACCTCATGGAACAAATGTTTGGGCTCTGGCTGTGCACACCAGAAGAGAGGGGAAAGTTTGGGAATATTGTGCAGGGGATGCACACGTGGGTCTGGGGAGCAGGGGTGTCACAGCAGGAGCAGGGAGTGTCCAGGCTGGGGAATTCAGGGCAGGCAAGCAAACGCTGCTGTGGGATGCACCAAGGGGCTGCTAAATGAAACCAAAAAGTCTCATTTCATTGTGATTTGTTTGTTTTTTTATTGTGAGTGACTTGTAGGGAGAGCAACGATAAAAAGAATTCTATAAACCAGAGCATTTTATGCATCATCAGTTCGATTTTTGATGAGTTTGTCCTTTATTAGGAAAAAAAATTTTTTTTGAAAGATTTTTCCTTTTATTCAAAGGAGGTATAATTTTGTCTGAACCAATTGGGCATCAAGTGTTGCCTGGGATGGCAGAGCCAGGAAATTGGGGAGACCTGACCAGGGATGCTGGGGTAGGGACACAGAGCCTCCCAGGACATTCATCCCACAATCTGAGGCACCCCGTGAAGGAGCTGTGACCCCCGTGCCCCCACAGTCACTGTACCGCACTGTGCCATCCCTGGCACACCCATTCCCCTGGGAGCCCAACCATGGGACCCCCGTTGCCTTGGTCTCTCCTCCCTGGGACCCTCACCCCAGAGCTGTCATTGCCCAGGACCACCATTGCCTTGATCCCATCCCATGAGCTGCTTTTTGCCCCACAGCCCCTATTCCCAAGAGTCCCCTTTATCTCCCTGCACCCCCAACCCTGGCACCCACATGCCATGAACCCAAATCCCTGGGGAACATGCCCACACCCTCAGCCTCGCTGGTGAGTCCTTGGAGGATGCCATGGCCCCACCCCGCTGTCCCCAGCCTCACATTGGCCCTGGCAGGCTGGTGTCCCCTGTCACCCGCAAGTGCCCAGACCACCCAGCTCCTCGTGGAGGCCGGCTGTGCTGTGGGACTCGGTGACATTGACCTGCCAGGGCTCAGGGACAGCCGGTGCCACCACCTGGTACAAGGATGGGGAGCGCTGGGGGCAGGTAGGACACGACAATATCACTGTCACCTCAAGTGGCACCTACAGTTGTGACAGACTCGACACTGGGCTCAGCCCCCCTGTGAAAGTTTCAGACGGTGAGGGGGGTTTGGGTATCCCCAACCTGGCACCCGCGAGGACCCCACAGGCTCTGACTGGGCTCCACTCCTTGGATCACCTCCTGTGTGACCAGAGCCCCTCCCCTGTTCTGGGGACATCCCAGAGCACCCCAGTGTGCGGAACCCCGTGTTGGAATTGGGGACCCCTGGTGCGCTGCGTGTGACCCAGAGGGGGGGTCCCAGTGCCATTGGGTGTGACTGGTCTCCTCTGTCCCCCAGACCTGCTGGTCCTGCAGGTGCCAGCACGGATGCTGCTGGAGGGGGACATGGTGACACTGTGCTGCCGGGGCTGGCGGAACAGCCCGGTCACCTCGGTTTCCTTCTACCACGAGGAGATGGAACTGGGGGTGTTGCCCAATGGCACCAAGCTGTCTCTGTCCCCTCTGCAGCTGAGCCACAGCGGCCACTACAGCTGCGGAGGCCAGGTGGGATCCTGGGGGTGGCAGGAGTCAGTGCCGGTGACAGTGACAGTGCATGGTGAGCATCTCACTGCTGCCACACCGACACCCCCACTGCCCCTCCCCAGGGACTGGGGCCCACAAATCCCCCTTTCGTCTCCTTCCGAGAGCTCTTCTCAGTCCCATTGCTGGAGGGTTCACTCAAGCCCACCAAGGGGTCCCCCTGACTCTCAGTTGCCTCAGCACCCCCAGCCACCTGCGGGCCCAAGCCCCCCTCCTCCAGCTACCCCTCTGGTCCCCTGCCTGGGTATGTCCATGTGCTTCAGACACCTCTGCTGGGTCCCCCGCATCTGCCCTGTGTCCCATCCCCTCTGCATGGTGTGACCCCACCCCCAAAATCCCCCCTCATACCCATCCCCCTGTGCCTATCACCCCTCCCCTGGCTGGCTGCCAGCCCCTCCTTGTGGCCTCAGCCCTCTCTGTGTCCCCACAGTGCCCGTGGCCAATGCCACCATCACCCTCAGTCCCCTGGCACACCAGGTGCATGCAGGTGACAACGTGACCCTGCGCTGCTCGGTGCAGGTGGGCTCAGCACCTGTCACCTTCACCTGGCTGTACAACGAGCAGGAGGTGGCCCAGGGTTCCCTCCTGGAGCTCAGGGACATTGATGTGGGACATGCGGGCACCTACCAGTGCGTGGCCACCAACCAGCTGGGACAGGACGGGCACCGCGTGTTCCGGGCACTCAGCCCAGAGCTGGCCCTGGAGGTGACCCCTGACTCACGCTGGGTAACAGGTGGGGTCACACAACGTCACCAGGGAGTGCAGGACCCCTGGGATGATGGCTGACCCTGATGTGTCCCCCTCTGTTTCTTGCAGTGGCTGCAGGGGTCGCTGGGGCCCCTTTGTTCGTGCTCCTGCTCGGGGGTGTCATTGTGGCCTGCCACCGATGGCACCGTGTGGGTGGGTGACAATGGGGGGACAGGGGACCCAGGAAGCTGTAGAGGTGCCAAGAATTGGGGAATGATAGGGCAGCACTCAGAGCCCCAGGACTGTGACCTTTTCTAGGGTCCTGTAGGGAATGGGGAGGTGCTGGAGAGTCCTGCAGGGAAGTCGGGGGTTGGGGGCTCTTTCAGGCTCCCTGCTGGTGTTTGAGGGGTCTCTGTCTCTGCTGGGCTTTGGGTTCTCGAGACAGAGTTGGGTGGGGGGCACAGGGGTGGTTCATGAGTTCTGGGAAGCATCAGTGATGCTTGGGGGTCCTGAAAGGAATTGAGGGTCCTGGGAGGGTTCAGGAATCCTGAGAGGGGTCAGGGCCTTGGGATCCCACAGTCACCCCTCTCCTCTTTCCTCTTCAGCAGCCAGGAAGCAGCTCAGCCATGGCACTCTGGGGACAGTGTGACACTCTGCCAAAGCCAGCTCCTGAGTGGCTGGGGGACCAGAAGTGCCACCTGGGGAGAGAGCCCTTGGTGGCCCTACTGGCTTAAAAGGCAGAGCATGAGGTGGCCAAATCCCTGACCCGGTCTTCTCATGGGGTGTCTGTCCCATCCACGCTGGAACCCAGGAGTTGGCAACTCGTTTAAATGAGAAATATCTGCTAAGGAAGTTTCCTAGAATGGAAAGAAGATACATTGTTAAAACTTTTTTTAATTTCAAAGCATATGGGGATTCCAGGCAAAAGTGTAGGAAAAAGAATAGCAGCTATTTACAGGTAAATTTCTAAACCAGAACAGAACAAACAACACAAACCCAGAACTTTCCCTCCCGCTCAGCGCTGTTGGTTTGTGTGGCAGTTATAACCGCGGCCAGCAGGAGGCGCTGCAGGGAGCGCTCCCTCCCGGCCAGCAGGGGGCGCCCCGGTCGAGCTCGATCCCCTCAGGGGCCATGGCGGCCTCGGGCGGGAGCCAGGAGGGGAAATCGCTCCTTTTGCAAACTCACCGACACCAATCAGTCCCTGCACCACCACCGGCAGTGGGCAGAAGCCATGAAAACACCAGGTTGGATCCTAGTGCTCAGTGGCAGCGTAGCAGTCTCCCGGTGCCTGACACACGCCCTGCGCAACGCCCGCGAACGCTCTCCATGATCCCGAATGGAAGGAAGGCAGGACCTGAACCCAGGCAGGTCTTGGTCCACAACAGCCCCTCTGGTGGCTTTATGCCACAATCCCTGCAAACCCTCAGCCTTTCACTCAGGTGAGGAGGGCAGGGATGGAGCAGCTTTGGGGACACCTGGAATCCACACAGGGTCACTCCGCACAGCCCCAGCACGGCCACGGGGCAGGGCCACTGCTCGGTATTTCCACACATTTCTCACTTGTCTGACAGCCAAACACACATATTCTTCCTGAGCCCTTCCAAAAGGCTGCAGGTTTGAGACAGGATGGACTACAGAATTCTCACCTCCGCAGCAGCTCCACTGACCCAGAGCCCCTCAGAACTTGTGTGGGATGACCCCCAGGCCGTTGGCACCTTGTGTGGGCTGTGCTGGGCCCTGGGTCACCCCAAAATCTGAGGCACCCAGGGAACAAGTGAAGACCGACAGTCCCACCCAGCCACTGCCCATCCCTGGGACCTCCATTCCCCTGGAAATCACATCATGGGAACCCCATTCCTTATGTCCCACCTTGCCTGGGACCCCCATCCCAGTACTGACATTCCCCAGGATCTCCATGGCACAGCACCCCATCCCCAAGGAACTCTCTCCTGTTCATTTCATCCCCTGAAATCTCCCTTTGCCCAGGGCCTTGATTCTCCCAGGACTCCCCATTCCCACTGGACACCCCTATAGTCCCTGCACCCCATCCTTGGCACACCCATCCCATGACCCCAAATCCCTGGAGCCCACGTTCCCCTGGCACTCCCATCCCTGAATCCCCCCAGCACTGGGTACCACCATTCCCATGGCCACCCCATCCCTGATGACTCTCCTTCTTCAGGACCCCCATTCCCAGAGACCCCATCCTTGGGACCCCCCATTCCCCTGGACACTCATCCCTGACTCCCCAAACCCCCTGAGCCCCGCACGCCTGGGAACCCCAAATCTCACCTTGTCCCACCCAGCCTCATCCCCATCCGGTCCCCAGCCTGTGGCCACACTGCCCCCACCCGGTGCCACCTCCACATGAAGGTGACACCTGACCTCGCTTCCTTCCCCTTTGGCCAAAGAGCCGCCACCCAGGGGACAGCCACACCCGACAGCGAGTGACAGCCAGTGCACATGGCTGGGGACAGCGGGATGGCCGGGAAGGTGGCGCTGCTCCTGTGGGGTGAGTGCCCCGGGCACGGGCCTGACACCCCAGGGATGGGGAGGGGAGGGGGCACAGGGGGGCTGCGGAGTCCCCTGAGGTCCCCAAGTCCAGCTGGGCATGGAGCCCAGTATGAGCAGAGTTGTGGGGTGGCTTTGGGGACAGGAAGTGGGGACAGGGAGGGGAAGTGGGATGTGGGGACAGGAACAGGAGGATGGAGATGTGGGGACAAGGATATGAGAGAAGGAGCCTTGGGGCTGGGGCAGCTGTGGGGACAGGGCCACAGGGATGCAGGACAGGGACAAGGGGACAAGAATCCTGTGCTTGGGCCACGGGGACAGGTACCAGAGGAGTGGGGCCACGGGCACAGGGCCATGGGGATGTGGCTGTGGGACTTTCAGGGGTGACCTGAGGCAGCACGGGGTCCCCATGCCTGAGCATGGCTTGGCTGCTGTGTCCCTGTCCTCGAGGCATCTGTGTCACACCCGTGTCCCCACAGAGACCTTTGGGGACAGGCCCCACACCCCGTGTCCCCGTGCTGCTGTCCCTGCAGTGCCACCCCCACTGAGCCCTGTCCCTTCTCCCTTCCAGCCCAGACCCTCGGCCTCGCTGGTGAGTCCTTGGGGGATGCCATGGTCCCACCCCGCTGTCCCCAGCCCCGCGCTGGCCCTGCCAGGCTGGTGTCCCCTGGCAGGCTGTTGTCCCCTGTCACCCGCAGGTGCCCAGACCACCCAGCTCCTGGTGGAGCCCCCCTGGAGGCCGGCGGTGCTGTGGGACCGGGTGATACTGACTTGCCAGGGCTCGGGGAGCTCCTGGTGGAGCCCCCCTGGAGGCCGGCGGTGCTGTGGGACCGGGTGATACTGACTTGCCAGGGCTCGGGGACAGCCGGTGACACCACCTGGTGCAAGGACAACCAGCAATTGCGGCAGCAGGGACGCGACCACTTCAAGGTCACCAAGAGTGGCATCTACCAATGTTACAGGCCTGTCACCAGTTTCAGCCCTGCCGTGTTTGTATTAGATAGTGAGTTTGGATCTTAAATGATCGGGGTGGCCCCTGACAGCTCTGGGTGGGCTCTGCTCCGTGGGTGGTCTCACACCCCTCCTGTGGTGAGAGCCTGTGCACTGCACACAGGGACACCCCAGTGCACCCCAGTGCACACAGATGTCCCTTGGGCCACAGGACACACCTCAGACCTGTCTCAAGCCCCTCAGCGAGATGGGACCCTCCTGTCCCACAGATGAGCTGGTGCTGCAGGTGCCAGCACAGGCACTGCTGGAGGGGGACACGGTGACACTGCGCTGCCAGGGCCGGCCGGACAACCTGGTCACCAGGGTGCGATTTTACCCGGACGTGAAGGATCTGGGGGGGTCCCTCACGGGGACCGAGCTGTCCCTGTCCCCCCTGCAGCTGAACCACAGCGGCTTCTACCGCTGCATGGGCCGGGTGGGCCCAAGAATATCACTGTCACCACTAGTGACAGTGACAGTGCACGGTGAGCACCCCACGGCTGGAACTCCAATCTCCTGACACCCCCAAAGCCACATCCCAGCAGACTCAGAGTCACAGTCCTCACCTCCCCTCTCCTTCTCAGAGCTCTTCTCGGGGCCGGTGCTGGAGGGTTCCCCCGAGCTCATCGAGGGGTCCCCCCTGACTCTCAGCTGCCTCAGCACCCCCAGCCCCCTGCGGCCCCACGCCCCCTTCCTGCACGTGTTCTACCGGGACAGGCAGGTGGTGGGGGGCCCGCCGGGGTCCCCACATCTGCTGGTGCCCGTCGTGGGGGTCTCCCACTCGGGGCATTACAGCTGTGAGGTGCGCTCCAAGGGGGGGAATGTGAGGAAGAGCAGCGCCCGGCTCCACATCTCGGTGCGCAGTGAGTGCGGGGATGGGCACGGGCAGCGCCCAGAGACCCCCCAGCTGCGAGGTGCGCTCCGAGGGGGGGAATGTGAGGAAGAGCAGCGGCTGGCTCCACGTCACGGTGCGCAGTGAGTGCGGGGATGGGCACGGGGTGAGCACAGAGACCACCAGGATCCCCTGGCTGGGTATGTCCATGGGCTCCAGACACATCTACTGGGTCCCCCAGTATCTGCCCTGTGGCCCCTCATCCCTCTGTGGTGTCACCCCATCCCTGACACCCCACATCACACCCATCACCCCTGTCCCTCTCCCCCCCTGAAAGCTGCCAGCCCCTCCCTGTGGCCTCAGCCCCGTCCGTGTCCCCGCAGTGCCCGTGGCCAATGCCACCATCACCCCTGGTCCCCTGGCACACCAGGTGC